CTTCTTAGTCTAGTCATCACGAACTTGAAGTACCGTAATGTTTAGTCTGGTCATTGCGGTACTTAAAGTATCGTAATGTAGTCTTCAAGGTAATACGACTACCTTGAAGGCTATTTTTATAAAAAAAAATGTCAAAATTGAAGAAAATAGGTGTGGGCAAGGTTTATAAAAGTTGAAGGTTTTTTTTCAATTAAACGAAGATTAAGATATGTTTGTGATAATTTCCCTAAATGTAATGATATACGGACAATCATAATAAATAATCCAAAAACAGTCTGAAATGGTCTACTTATTAGGCCAAAAATGTTTTTTTTATATTCACGATCATTGTGGTCACAATTATCCACCTATAAAATTTTAGGATCCCAAACTCATCTCTGCAATAAAAGTTTTAAGGACACCCACCCTAAACAAATTCCAAGAGCTTTTAAGAAACCATAGCCCATCAACCATCCATTGAAGGCGTGAAAGATCATCAAACGAATGTAAGAACAAGCAATTGCATTCATGTTTTTTGGAGGATCCCATTCTCACCATCGACTTCAATTATTTCTATGGACGACATGATATCCCATGGACTATGCTTTCTTTCACATAGTACGTTGATTTGCAATTTGTCTTACTTTAATGATACTCCATATGGTACATTTATGATACTCCACATGGTACATCTATGTGGCAATGGGTCAGGCAGCCCGACCCTAAAAAATGTGAGAAACTATATTTCTGTATAATTGGGCCTCAACCCCCCATGAAAGGTGTAATATTGAGCTTAACAAAAATGTGAACAAGAGCCTCAAATTATAGGGTTACAAAACTGTGTAGTACTCTAGAAACTAATATATATAATAAACCACCTTCCTAATATGGATACACATAAGAAGAAGGAAAATATTGTTCCTAAACATCAGTGCATGTTTCTATATTTTCCACACTCCCCCTCAAACTCAAGATGAGTTAAGAAGGAGCATCTTGAGTTTGAACATCTGAATAACGCAGGCTTTAGGTTTTAGCAACAAAGCAGGAACAAAAGAAGCAGAAGAAGCTTGAGCAGCTTAAAATTATCGATCCTCAGAAAACGACATCAAGTCTTTAGGTGTAAAGCATGGCCGATAAAAGTAGTGGTCTCCATGCTCAGATTGCTTGAACAACAAGCACAGAAAGTGGCAAATCTCAGGAACAGACGAAACATTCGAGATCGCGAAATTCTATCATCAAACAAGAGACAGATCAGAGAGAGTCGAAACATGACTCGACAGAGAGATAGATCAGAGAGTCGAAACACGATTCGACGGAGAGACACATCAGATAATAGAAACACAACTCAATATACAGACAAATCAGAGAGTCGAAACACGACTCGATGGCTGTTATGCATATGGTGCAGATTGGCTATTTTTCAGAGGCCATTTTAGAGATGAATTTAAAGGCGGGTTTCTGATCCTGCTCGCGAAAAGTCCGACATCAGACAGGAACACAACAACAATGGTTTTTCTTTTGCAAACAAAGACAAATCACAGGAAGGTTTCTGATAAAAGAACATAAGTTTTTCCTTTTTCTTTTTTTTTTCTTTTTTTTTTTGTGAATGAATAAATAAATAAAAAATAAAAAATAAAAAAAACCTAGGAGAAAATAAAGAAGAAAGAGAGCAGGCTCCGACAGTACCAGGATGAAAAGTAAGAGAGAGAGGTATCAACAACTCTAAACAAAATCACTTGAATATTATGGATCCCCAAGAATGCACAATGGACTACCTTTTTAAAGGAAAGCAAAAAATGTCAAGGCAACAAATGCCAATAGAAGAGAAAGAAACAGAGAAGAAGGACAGAGAATGAGAGAGGGAGTTGAGAACAGCGAGAGAGAGGGAGAACTAATGAGAGGTAGAGAGATTTGATGTGAGAAAGAGAGGGAGAACAAAAGAGAGGGAGCCCTTTCCTTGAAAGGCAGGCCGTGAGACAGAAGCCCCGCGAATATCCTAAAAAGCGGAGATGCAGAGAAAGAGAGCAGAGGAAAAAACCCAAAATTGAAGACAGAGAGAGAAGGAACCAAGCACGTATGGGTGCTGGCCCTAGCAGTTATCGAGAGAGGAAGAGAGATTCTTTCAAATTCCGTGGAAGATTTTTATGCCAAATTATTTTGGATCTACTACAAAAGCCAACGGAAATTAGGGTTTTTGAGCCAAATGCCAAGGGGATTTTGTAGCGAGGCTTGGAGATGCAAAGTAGGTGGAAATTAGGCCACCGCTTGTCCTTAACAAGGGCTTGATCTAGGCGACAGTCACCATGGAGGACATCCACGGCAGTATAGTTGATGCGATTCTCGAGTCCGAGGAGAAGGTCAAGGTTGCGCAGGCCAATTTCCATGTAAAGGGCAACCACCTTGAAGCCAAGGCGGGTAAGGAAGAGGGATATGTTGGCAGTGGTCGTCGTCTTCCCCACACCTCCCTTCCTAGAGGTCACGACCACCACGCGAGGAGTCTCCCTTGACAGTTCTGGCTTGCTTCGCCACTGGAGGACGGCTTGGCAAGGCGAGTGCGATCTCCTTCTCCTGCTCGATCTTGGGGTTGTTTTGTTGGAGATTCGGAGGAGGGGTTTAGCGGGTGATGGGCATCTGCTTCAAAGTGATCATTGAGAGAGAGAGTGAGAGAGAGAGAAAATGGCTAAAATATTAGGAGAGAGAGGAGCTCAAAATATCAGCAGAGAGACAGGAACAGAGAGAGAAGCCGCAAAGTCACAAAAACATGACAGAAAGGAAAATTGTATTATACAAAAGCTAGAGGAAGTAAATGCCTTTCTTATGCAAGAGGTAAATTTAGAGAGAGGGGCAGGGGGCGTCAAGTGGAGAGGCAGGTGAAGTCATGCAAACAGAGCAAGAGGGAGTCTTGAGAGCAGATCTGTAGAGAAGGGTAGAGAGAGAAAATAACCAGAGAACCAGAGATATCTAAGAAGATGGCTGGAGAAGAAGATGACTCTCGTGAAAAGCACAGTGGAAGTTCTAGAGAGAAAAAGAGATATGAGAGAGACAGAGACAGAGAAAGGGAAAGGTAGCATGAAAAGAAAAAGGAGAGATATCTGAGGGAGAAAGGTAGAGTGGTAAGAAAAAGGAGATATATCTGACGGAGAAAGGTAGCATGGTAAGAAAAATGAGAGATATCTAAGGGAGAATACTGTAATACAAATCTATATTTCTGTATAATTGGGCCTTAGGCCCTCATGAAAGGTAGATTATTGAGCTTAACAAAGATATAAACAAGAGTGTATAGGGTTACAAAACTGTACAGTACTATAGAAACTAATATATATAATGAACCACCTTCCTAATATAGGTACACATAAACGGAAGGAAAATATGTTCCTAAACATCAGTGAATGTTTCTATTTTCCACTCCACAAAAAAAAGTAGGGCTTGGGCTATGAATTGTGTGGCCTAAGGGTCAAGCTAGGGCCAGGGCCAGGGCAGACCGGGTTCGACCTGGTCAGGCCCTCCTTTCTTCTTGTTTTAATTTCTTTTTTTTCATTTGTTTTTTACTTGGCCCGGTGCCTTGTTTCCACCTTAATATTGGCCTTGCAAACCAAAGCATCCACTCATCAGATAACTCGGTGTGCGCCTCCATTTACCCTTTTTGGTTTCAAACAAATAATGATTAGGGAACTTACACTATGCATGAAAAACATATTATATTATGCTATAATAAGGGAAAAGTTTATATAGAGCCGAGGCTCTAAACAATAAAATTAGAGCCTACCTCAAAATTTTCACTAGACAATGTTGTTTTGATTCCCAAATATCCTCAAATTGATCATGTCGATATCAAGATGCATGGACATGAGAAAAAAATGGATTTCAAGTTCTGGAAATAGTGTACTTTGTAACGTATTTTTGGACCGTCAATTTTCAATATTTTCAAGTTTTCATAAAGCTGTCAATCTACACTATTTTTGAAGATTTAAACTTTATAAATAAAAATAAAAATATATGTTAATGCTAGCACAAAGATTTCCAGTATTAAAACTGCATTTCTCGACACTATTTGAAGGTAGGTTCTAATTTAATTGTTTAGAACCTAGGCTCTATACAAACCGCACCCATTATATATTTATATTTATATTATTATGATATATTTGTAGGATTATGTTAGGGGAAAAGTTTATATAGAGCCGAGGCTCTAAACAATCAAATTAGAGCCCACCTAAAAAATTTCACTAGAAGAGATTGTGTTGATGCCCAAATATCCTCAAATTGATCATCTCGACATTAATATGCATGAACATGAGAAAAAAATGGATTTCAAGTATTGGAAATGGTGCATCTAGTAACACATTTTTTTACCGTCAATTTTCAAGTTTTGTAAGTTTTCATAGATCTGCTCGATCTACAATGTTTTTGAAGCTTTAAATTTTATATTTAAAGATGAAAATATATTTTAAGGCTATCACAAAGATTTCCAATATTAAAACTACATTTCTCGACACTATTTGAAGGTGGGCTCTAATTTGATTATTTAAAGCCTTGGCCCTATACAAACCGCACCCTGATATATATATATATATATATATATATATATATATATATAAAAAGACACTACACCTATTAGTATACTTAGTACTACGTATAGTTACTTAAGTTATTACTTATTACTAAGTTACTAAGTTAAGTAATTAATTTTAA